CTCAACCTCAAACAGAGGTGGAATGGACTCCCCCTTCAACGGAGTGGGTAAAAATAAATTGCGACGGCGACTTTGTAGAGACAACAAGAAAGCCTCATACGCTGTGGTAATGCGCAACCATAACGGGCAGCTTATTGATGGGGCATCGACAAATGTGACAGCGGCATCACCATTGGCAACTGAAGCTAGCGCAATAAGAAGAGCATGTAGAATGGCAGTGGAACATGGACACCTAGCTGTGATTATTGAATCAGATTCTAAGAGCCTTATTGATTTGCTAAACCAAAGCCCTACAACAAAGCAATCCAGCGGGATATATACTACCATGCACAACTGCTTACATAGGTCAAATTCTGCCATGTGAGAAGATCCTTTAACTTCTTAGCGCACATAGTGGCTTTATAGTGTGGGCAAGGAACCCTACCCTGAACTGGGTATCAGCCCCCTAACAAAAAAAGTTGCAAGTTATTCTTAGGGAGGCCATGGTTAGGATTGGGTAAAGTACATCACAAACTTGTATTTACTGTTTTTTATTAATGAAAGTTTACATTCCGACAAAAAAAAAAAAATAGTATAAATTGGATAAAAAAAAATGAAAATTAGATCAAACTTGATCGTTGAACTTTTATAAATTGAAAATATAAATTATTAGCTATAATATTATATAGATTTTAGATAAATTTTATGCAACCCGATATTTGATATAATTATCCAATACACCCCTAATATATTTTAAAAGTTGAATAAAAAAAACCCAATCATACGACCTTAGCGATCTCTACAAAATAATTTTATTTTTATTTTTATTTTTATATCATATGCTCGATCAGTTTTGTATAAATATAGATAGATTTAAACTAATTAAAAATCTCACACCCTAATAACCCTAAACGATGAAATCATAGTTTTTAAATTTGGTCCAAACATCAACCCAACAAAAGAATCGAGTTAATGGATTGCTACTACAACTGATCAAATATGTCATATAATTAATTAAAAATAATTATTAATAATAATAATAGTTCAAAAGTATACCACAAATTATTAAAAAAATAAAGGCAGAAAGAAGAAAGGCAGTTTGTACATGGTACATGGAATCCCACATCGAAAGACGAGGCACCCTATAAATTGAGTTGGTGGACCACTAACAATTGCATAGTGCTTTTAGGGTTTTCCACTGGAGCGTGTCAAGTGGATTAGAGGATGGAACCGTTATTTTTTGGAAGTGGTGAGCACGAGGGCCACCATTTTTGGAAGTCTTCTTGACAGTGTAGACAAACCATGTATTTGAAAATGGTGGTAGGTATGCTAGCGGAAGACTTATGGATATCATACCAGGATTATTAAACAGAAAAAGAAAGGGGGGGGGGGGGGGATTTGGTTTTGGTAGACTCAAAATTGTTGGAATAAAAGATATGATGGATTGACCAGAAAATGGAATAGGGTTGACATACAATGTTGCTTTTGACCGGATCAAGAAGGGGATTAATTAAAATATGTATAAGTTGACCCGAATATCTCTAACTATTGAACAAAAAAAAAACTGAGTCATGTAATGTATTGCTAGTCATTGAATAATGTAATATATTTTTAGCCATTGAATTATTTCTTAAAGTTAATTGGATTTATTATTCTCATTATCAACATTGATTTGATGCAACAAAAAATTGAAAACCTTTCATGAGTAAGCATAGCATTAGCGGTCATCATATTGTACTAGAGTAATTTATTTTGGTACATAAGAAGTTGACTTAATTTTTAAACTAATTAAGTGTCAAGGATATCATTCTAGAATAATACTACAGAGACATAAAAAAAATTTACTCAATTTACTACTATAATGATGTGTTAAGTGATGAAATCCTTACCGTCATAATAACACTATTAGACCATATCACTGCATTATCATTATATCCGTTTTTTAGGTGAGAATAATGTTACTCATAATTCTAATGGACAGAGTCAAGCAATTGTCATTATAATATTATTATCACATTATTAAATAAAAAAATTATATTTAATTTTTAAGTCCCAAAAATATTATTAGATTGTACAATTGTTGCTCTAAGGGCTTATTTAGATGGATTTTTGAGAGGGTTTGGATTGACTTTTTCAAACCTTTTTAAACTTAAATCTTTTTTTACAAAGATGAGATTTAACATTGAATCTAGTCCAGTTCATACTCATGTTTAATATGTAACACATACACATATAAGATCCACTGATATATTATAATTATTAATAATTATTTGTCTAATAAATAACTATTTTATTTTTTATCAATCCAATTCATTCTCATATTACGGCGTAGAATTGTCTTTTGCCTCCTTAATCTCTTAACCTATATTTCCAAACCCATCTCCCTTTAGGTTTGATGAAACTTATGATCATGAGTTTAANGGGGGGGGGGGGGAAGCTGTTAAATGGTAGCGATTTTTTGGGCATAGGGAATGCATGCTCAGTGTAATTTCAGATGACAAGGTACTTTTTCTCCTTTCTTTTCTTATATTTTTCTTATGTTTCTTTGTAATTTGTTTTGAGCAAATCTCCTATTTGTAACCCTTTTGTAAGGGGTAAGGTTGTACTTCCCCTGGTTTCTTTAGAAGTATTCTTATTAATAAAATTTCACCTAAGTTGAGGTTTTTTGTAGGATTTATTTTTTGATAGAAACTTTTAGGGTACGATAAGAAGTATATAAATTGTTAACATAGGTTGTCGTTTTCATAAGATTTTATTTTTAGAGAAAATTATGTTAAAATGTTTTGAATTTATTTGGTCAAAAAACTTATTGGGCCTCCTAAACGGAATATGTGTATTATTTTCCTCTTTCTAATGCAAAGTTTTTTAAAGGGTAACTTGGAAGGCAGTATAAAAATTTAGGTTTATTTGAGCTAAATTATATTAAGAAAATTTATTTGGCTCTAAGTACATTTTTTTGAAAAAAAGACTAAAAGAGTATTTATTACTCTATTACACTCTCTCTCCATTACTCTTTCACTCTCTATTCCCTATTCTCTCTCTCTCATATTGATAATTTTTATTAAATATATAAAGATTTGATTTAATTTTTTTTATCTCTCTCTCCCCCTATTTTTTCTCTCTTTCTCTCTCACTCTCTCTACCCTTATTTCCCTATTCTCTCCTTTTTTTCTCTCTCTCTCCTCATATCAATGTTACAACAACACAATTACATTAATCAGTTATACCAATTAGTTACAATTATCTTATAATACACTAAATAATTACTCATGTGTTCTAATAAATCAAACTGTTACACAAAACAATTATACGAAATTATAACACCAACCAAATTTGTCATTTAGTTATTTACATAAATCAAAGAGTTACATCATTTAATATCACGACATAGTTACATAAATTATATACACCAAGTTGGGTTTATCATTACACAAAAGACTTTGTCATTATACTAAATTTAGTTTATATGATTGGTGTAACAATGTCGCGATACTAAATAGTGCAACTATTTAGTTTATGTAAACAATTGAATGACAAATTGAGTTGATGTTATAAATTTGTTTAGTGTAACTGTTTAATTTATTAAAACGCATAAATAACTGTTTTGTACATTATAAGATAATTGTAACTGATTGGTGTAAGTGATTAGTAAATTATGTTGTTGTAATATTGATATAAATAGAGAGAGAAAATAGAGAGACAGAGAAAGAAATGGTTAGAGAAAATAGGGGGAAGAGAGATGTAAAAATAAATTATATATTTATATATTTAAAAAGAAAATAAATTATTAATGATAATATAGAGAGAAAATAGGGGAAAGATTGAGAAAGTAATGGAGAAAAAGAGAGAGGGATGGAGAAAAAAAAGAAGAGAGATATTGAGAGAGTCTAATAAAATCTTTATATATTTGATTAGATATATAACTGTCATTCAAGAATGCATAATTTAAAGAAGGGTATTTAGGTAAAACAAATTTGATTTCATTTGAATTTTGTATCTAAACACAATATATTTTATTAAAATTGAACTTAATAGAGTAAATAATTTATCCATATATTTTTCCTCACATAAGTCTAAAAAATTGTACCTACAACCAAAAAAATCATTTTTTAAATTATCAACTTTTTTTATTACGTCGTGCCTTCAAGCACAGACATTAACTACTTCTTCCGTTCTTAAATATCTATCGTTTTACATAATTGTTTTTGTTCCATAATATCTGTCGTTTTATGAAACTAAAGCATAATTAATATTTTTTTTTCTAAATTTACTCTTATCTATATTTTTCAATAAGTGCTTAATATATTATGTGTAGACTAAGTGTTTTTCACATTCCTTTCTTTCTCAATACGTATTAAATAAGGGTATTTAGTCTTGTGTAATTATTTTTTATTCATATTAGAGTTATTTAATAATTTTTTTAATTTTTGTACAAAAATTTTAAATAACAGATATTTAAAAATAGATGGAGTAATATATTATATATATATATTGTGCGATGGGGGGTGGTGTATGTTTGCTTTATGTGTGAGTGTGTGTTTGGATGTTTTTGTTGCGAGAAAATAATGAAGGCTCGAAACCTGACCGGAGAGAGAAAGAATTTGAAGTGACAATGACCGAACTTCGAAGCTCGACATATACGAGCTGCTATCTAAAGACGGATTGATATCCAGTAATGAACAAGTATTAATGTCCCCACCATAGTCTACTGGAGCTTAGTTATAGTAGCCTAAATGTAACAAAAAAAAATTCCGGTATTAGGGTGAACGTGTATCAGCGCTTCAATTAATCTTTTCTCGATTAAATAAATTCCGTCAGAGTAGGCGAATGAGCCAAAAACCACCCATCAAACTCATCGATATTTTCAATCAAAACAAGAAACAACATAGAAGTTGAAACCAACCACAACTTCATACAAATATAAAAAACACTTTATAATAAAGTGATGGCATAAGCAAGACAAAAAATAGCAAACAGGTTGAAAGAAATCCGGTTCACCACAGCCTTGCTCGCTCACAACCCGACCGGTTCACCAACCTTTCACGCACCAGGAGCAGCATCCTTCACCTTACTCTGCCAATACCCACCATACTCCCTCGCATAGTCCTTCACATGACTGGCCGTGTCGGCTATTCGGCTTCTGGCGTAATCAAACCTGTCTGAACCGGGCGGGTGGGATCCCTGGAAGTACTTATACACCCATGAAATACCGGCGACAACCACGACGGCGAACCAGAGAACCGACAAGAAACCGGCAATGACAACAAAGAGGACCGAACCGATAGGGAGCCAAATCGGGCTAGATATGAGGATCAAGGGGGTGAAGAAGATGAGACCCATAACAGTGGCGGTCAGGGTTAAACCGCTGAGGAGTAGTAAAATGCCTCCGGAGATCACTAGGATTAAGAAACCCATGAGTTGCTTTGAGTTTGGTACATGTTCATGGAGTTTACGGAGGAATGTGCTGCCGTTGGTGGTGGTGGTTGCTGTTCTTGGTGGTCTTTGGGGTTGGCCGGCGCCGGCTTCGGCTTGTCTATCGGCCATTGTTGAGAGCACAAGGCTTTCTTTGGCTGTTAACTGAGTGAGTGTGTGTGTGTGTGTGTCAGAGAGAGATTGCTTTGAGAAATGCTACGCTGAAGAAGGGTGAGGTATGTTGACACGTGTGCGGAAGGTCGGCTCATTTATCCATATGTAGACATGCATGCAAGGGCACACGTGGCTTTTTTTTTGGGGAGGGGGGGGGATTGGAGTTTAGCACTTCGAGATCTGATGCAGTGGGACTGACTTTTTCTTTTGAAAAATACTTTCTATCCCAAATTTAATTGTTCATTTGACAGGAATAATAAAAAATAGGAAATATGAAAAATATGAGGAATATATTTTTTATCATTTAAAGAAGTAAAGTAAGAATAATACATTTTTCTTTCTTTGTGTTAGGTTGGATTGATGAAAAATAAAAATAATTATTTTTTTTTGTACTCACTAAAATTAGGGGTGACAATCGAATTGTGTCATTTCAAATTCGTGTTGAGTCATTACGGATTTATGTAAAACATTAATCAAATTTAACTCAATTTATTTAATTAATTATGTTGTGTCGAGTTGAGAGTTGACATGTTTATTTTCGTGTCGTGTTCGTGTTTTTATTCGTGTTAATCTATTTTTAACTAAAAAATAAATCCGAATTTTTAATTAAAATGAAAAAAATATTTTTAAAAATTTAATATTATTTTTTATTTATTTTTAAAAAAAATATGTATATAAATACATATTTTATCATTATATTTTTATATGAAATTAATGTATACATAATATATGTATATATCAAAAAATATATAGACAAATAAGATATATCTCAATACAAATAATTAATTTTTCATCCACTTTCTTTCTGATTTTGAAGGGATTGATTTTTGTGAGTTGGAAGAAAAATTAATTCATCTATTTTTTCATCATTCCTATTTTCATTCCTTACCAAACATGATATTTTATTTACCCCTTCAATATTTCATCTTTCCAATTTTTCATCCTTCCATTTTTTCACCATACCAAATGGAGCACAATAATCTAAATGGTATCTCAAATGAATTGAAATTCGAATAAGTAAATTTCATTAATTTTCTTAAAGATTTCTATGGATTTGGAATATAATTTAGGATCTCAAATTTGAGATGCCTAATGTTGTTATTTTCTTTTGAATAATATTATTTTTCGTGAATAGGTGCAGAGAAAACTTTAGGCTTACTAAAAATTTATCAAATGGATGTGGCCAATTAGATCATTAGTTTTATTAATTTTTTTTTGATTTATATTGATTTGATAATTTTTTTTATATAAATGTGATACTATCTTATTATTATCATGTATAATTATTATTATTTATTAAAAAATAATTAATAATGATAACTAGTAGATTTTATTTTATTTATATAATTTTTTTTCATTAAATAGTTACAACAAGTGATAATGACATTGTGTTCCAATCACCTTAAATTGTATTTTGAAGGTGCGATGTTGTTATTTGGGATTTTTAGTGCCCTATCTAGTTTGAGAAATTTTTTTATGAAAGATTTGACAAGAGGTACAAAGTTATGTGAGGTTCACACCTGAATACTTTTAAAGCGAAAATGTCCATAAAATAAATCGTTGTGGCAAGTTTTGGTAGCAACAGCAGTAGCAGGATCTGGGTTCTTCGCCAAATAACTCCTTAACACCAATGCCACTAAACCCATTACTGATTCTGAACAAACTAACCCAAAATGTGATGAACCCAAAAAATCCCAACACTCTTTTGATAACTCCGTTCATCCCCAAGTTTCAATTCTTCTCATTATTGATGACCAGAACAGTAACATTGAATCGCGGAGTATCTTTAGGTTTTCAAGTATTCAAGGGTCTAAAGGAGGAGATAGGTCTTGATTCTTTGATCAACGCTTAAGGAAACGTTTTATGACATTTTTAAACACACCATTCCAAATGACTCATTCTGCCCAACAATTTTTCTTACACCTGATATGTTTGTTGTTTTTAATTCACTTTGTTTAACGTTGATGATGCTTAAATAGAAATTCCAATTAAATATGAGCCCAGGAGCCGGGGTCAGATCAAGAGATCTGACAAGGCATGCAGGGCTCAAGGGACAAGAGTTAGAGCTCCCCTCATACGAGTCAATAACAAAGGTGATAAGGAAACAACTGGATGACAGCGTAGCTAAAGTCCATGCACAAAACTCTCAATCAACTGAGATTCTCCCCCAAAATCAAGGGAGATTTTGCTAAGATCACGCCTAAAACTCCTTAGGAATTGAAATTACACTATAAATAGTATACAATGTCTCCAAAATATGGGAGACCCCTAGTTGTGTGAGAAGCACGGTGTAAATTTCATTCCCCATTATTAAAAAAAAAGGAGCAAGAGTCACCGTTGAAAAGTGGATTAGCCGAACTCCCAAATTAGTGAACCACTATACTTTCTCTGTATAAATCCTTTCAATTCCTAAAATCCTTGAGAACGACCCTTAAGAGCCTTGAAGCTCAGACCCAAGTTGCCAATCATAATTCCTACCTTCTGTTCACCCACGTTAATTTACACTATCAAACGTCATTTTGAATGACGCATTTAAAGACGTCATTAGAAATGAAGATTTTACTAAAAAAATCTTAATTTGAAATTGTCATTCCAATTGATGTTTTAACTTATGAAGGCGTCATTCCAAATAATGTTTTTAAAAATAGATTAGATTAAATTTGAGAAATAAGTTTAAAATTAGATTTGAGAATAAAGTTGGTGGGAAACTGGGTTTAGTCAAAAGCTGACCTCACACACTTTGAAAAGTACATTGTTGGACTCATCGACAAAGGTACTAACCTTATAATTTTCAACAATTCTCTCATTTTTTTGGCCACAAGTTCAATAAACATTTTTTTGGGTCTTAAGACTAATTTATCCTTAATTACATAATTAGCAATATTATAAAATAGAGAGCAATATAAAAACAGTGACAGTGACTAAAATGGTTTTATATGGTCTTGGTTTTAACAAGAAGAATATTTATGTTCCTATTGTTGAATCAAAACAGTTTTTTAAGTGTAAAAACTAAATTTTTGGTCTACTTTGAGTCTAAATTAAAGTGAGATCTGATTGTTATTTTGAATAAAATTTTGTGGGTTCATATTCTACTTCGTGAGAAGAATAATGTAGTATATTCACTTGCTCAAATCGAGTAAAAAATAAATGAGAAAATTGGCTCCAAAGTGACCCTCCTGAAATGTGAAAAATAAAGGAAGTGCAATGTGGGATGTGACATCAATCCCATATTGTTTAAGGAAGAAATTCAATATGGGCATATATAGACCAAGTTTGCTCTATAGGATTGGGCCCCAAGGGGTACCACAGTTTTATAAGCGGAGCGAGCACCTACATGTCTTCGGTTCAACCACACACGCGCGCCGCCCGCCCTTCTCGCCACGACCCGACCGGGCCAAGCTCAAGTACGGGTATGGTTCCCAAAATTCTTTTTAAGGTGTCTACTGTCCGAAAAGTCACCAATGTGTCTATAAATACCCAAACTCATTTTCATTAATTATTCAATTCATCAGTCCGTTTTTGACAAAAAGACAGACATTAGAACATATCATTTTCGGCATTAAGGCAGTGCATTTAGAGAGTACACAACACGATTTTGGTTCGCTGGACGAGTAAATTGGAGTTTTACTTCTGTTCATGTAAAGATCATTGTATCTTGGGAGGCAGACGCTTGGTTTACATAAGCACTGTGTGTGAGGGCAAAATCTGTCTTAAGGACACAGTGTCAAATACTAGTCTTGATCTACCTAAAGTTTAATAACAGTTCATGTTCTGTAATTGAGTTAGTGTTTATTTTTTATTTGGCAAACAGTTACGTGTAACTATTTGCTGTTACTGTTTCATTACCCTGTTATAACTCTTTCGTTTCTGTGTAACTCTTTACTGTAACTGTTTTGTTATACTTTACATGGTTCAAATCAGAAATTTTAATAAGTAATTTTAAAATATTTGACACACCACAAACAACACCTATATATTCTTCAACTTGGTGCAACTTTATTTTATCAAGGTGCATGTTTTGTTTACGAACTCTAAACTTTTCAACACACACACACAAACAGATGGAGTACAGTGACCATGGTTTCCTGGAGGAGTTAAGAAGTGACCCCTTGGAAACAACTCAGAACAATTCCTATAGGAGTGAATGAGTTCCACATTAAGGGATGTAGTACTTTTGATGGAACCCAAGTTACTCTTCCTCCAAGTTCTTTCTTCCAAGACTTATCTTTAGCATTTGATCAAACACTAGATGACTCCCAAAGTGACTTCTACCACCCATTTGGGGATGAATTCTCAACTCTCACATTAACAAAAAATGGTTTTACCAGGGAAACATTTCCCCAGCAAAATATGCTCATTGCTAAAAGTTATTGCTAAAGAAATGTTGTTTTTGCGGGTAATTCTAGATTAACAGGAAAATCCTTTGCTGGCTATTGTTATGCCTTCAACAAAGAAATACTACCTTTACCAATAAAATGTCTCTCTCGGAAAAATAATATTTTTAAGCGTTTCATCACCAGTTTAGAAACTCATAATCTATAAGAATACCTGATAAAGATAATAATTAATAACCAATAAATAAGATCAATCCAGATTAGGATAAACTAATATCATATTTGAAGAATTTTAGACCATACTATTACATCCATAATCTCAAGATAGTGCCTTGCAACTTTTCCTGAAAAACAACTTGGGCACCCAATAAAATTCTTCAAATATTCAATTCCTAAAATTCTTTTCTATACCACTAAAATTCAGATGCTCTTGAGAGTCAAGTGTGTGTTTGTTTTAAGAAAACCCCAGAAACTAGTTGTAAAAGTCTCTTCCATTCACATCTTCTGTTGCATTCGTAGCTTTTCTATTGTCTGGTTCGTTCCCCTCATCTCCTCTCTAAGCTCATCTATCATAGCTCATAGCTGTTGATTCTCTCTCTCTCTCTCTGCTTTTTATCACCCATT